TACTGTAAAATTCTCATTTTACAAATGAGGAGACTCTGTCACTGAGAAGTTAGGTAAATTACTTCCCAAGGCTACGAAACTACTAAGTGGTAGACCTGGGGTTGGAACCCATCATTATGGCTATGAAGGCTGTGTTCTGAGCCACTCTCCACTGTGCTATGTTGTAGATGTGATCGCTTTTAGCCCATTGCTTTGAAGGTAGCTAAAGAAGTGTTTATTAAGTATTTATTCAGAACGCCAACATTATGCTGAACACCGAGGAGGAAACTATGAAAGAAATAAAGAGTCCCCATACTTGAGGTAATAACTTACAGTCTAACTGAGGAAATGAGACACTGAAGATTGGACAGAGCTTTGTAGTGTAGCTCTGAACAACTGGAAGATCAGGAAAGAGAGGGATTCTTACGGATTATGGGGTAGTACCAGGAAACACATTAAACTAGTTCTCAAGGGATGAGGAGGAGCCTGGCTACTGTTCTAAATGAAAAGGATACACCTATAATTTCTAGCTTCCATTCAGTCCTGTGTTGAGGCCTAAAATGGGTTTAAGACTGCTTGCTTGTTAGGGTGATAGGCTTGAGATGGCACGATTTCACATCCCATGTAGTAGATGGGCATTTCTGTGCCCAGGACTTGAAAATTTCATCTGATGCTAGAAATTCTAAGAAGGTTACCTTAAGATACCTGTAGCATTTTTTAAAATACCAATTTATTAAATGTATCTAATATTTAAGCTGATGCCTTTTTACTTGGAAGATAGTAAGAATGAGTCTATATATTCTTTTATGTGATGTTCACAAAAACTCTCTGAGGTCAGTATGAGCCTCAATTTATAGGCCCATATAGTTGAATCACTTGCCCAAGTGTACTACATGACTCCAGACCGGAGTGCAAGTTTCTTGACTCCAGTGTGGGAAGTCTTTCCCTCCACAAGGCCACTCCTTGTGGTTGGTCACGGAGGTCAGTTTGAGACAGCATGCTGTCACAGAGAAGCTTACAAGTAAAGGTCCCCAGAAAAGCAAAACTGCTCCTTCGTTTTTCTGGCCAGAAGTATGGTCAAAGAAATAAAGCAGTAAGTTTTAGCCCAGTAAGCCAGAACGGAAGTGGGGTATGGTATGGGAGGAAAGCAGGGAGTATTCATATACCCAACACATACCACAGTACCATTGACTGTGTAGGTCTTAATTGTGCCCGTTTTGTGTCCTCTGATCCTCTGGTTCCTTAAATTCCAAAACAACCCAGAGGAATCGTTCTGGTTTTGCTTGGAAAGCAGCACTATGTTTCTGTGCCTGTGCATTCTAAAACAGGCCTGTCGAATTTGAAACCTAAATACAAGCTGACAGAAATCAGCTACTAACAAATTAAGTTAAATTAGTAGAGTACATGCCTAAAATACAAAGAAAAAAATTTTTCCCGTTATCTTTCTCCCTGGTTGCCAGGCTAGATGGGGAGGCTGAAGTTTTTGTCAGCAAGCCCTTTCCTTTGCCTGGCCGTGCTTCCTAGAGAGCCCTGCATGGGAACCTTCTCCAGAACTACTGCTCCCCCTAGTGGCAGCCTCCAAACCGCCATCTACCAATTTTCTGGGCAGTGTTGTAGTGTAGTTGTAGTGTAGTGATAATAGGAATCGAATCCTCCCCTAACCCTGAAAGGATTTATGCCTTGGTAGATTATTAGGGAAGGGACAGAATATTCAAATGGGCCAAATGTACAAAAGACACACATGTGGACAGCTTTCTAGTTACAAGAAGAAAGCATGACTAAACAGTTGAATCTTAGGGTGGGCTCAAAGGTATTATAGAGTAGGGGAAAAAAGTGCTGAAATAAGAACAAGAAACCCTACTTCAAATCCTGACTCTGCCTCCAAATAACTATTTACCATTGAGTTAGACAGTTCAGTTTTAAGAATATAAACAATGTATAAGTATACATAATAAGTGACAACTCCAGGCTTTGTCCCATGTAGATTTTATTGTAAGATATTTAAGGCTGTTTTTGTGAAGGCAAATATTATAATTTTTTTATTTTTGTATACAGGTTATGGAATAATAGAATATACAGATGCTGAATCTCATGATCTACATTTATTCCTTTGCATTTCCACTACTGCTATCCCAGTTCAAATCCATATGGCTTTATGCCTAATGTGGTGGATCACCTCCCTTCTCTTCGTCAACTTTGTAGGAATTCCTTTCTAGCCTTCAGACTTTCGCAGAAGCATTATGGCTTACTCAGGTGGCAGTGCCTAGAGGCACTAATGCAGCTACAAAAGCTAATTCCCACCTGCAAAAAAAAAAAAGGATGGTCAGGCCCAGTGTGGGGGACGGGTTTATACCCACTACCTGAGATCAGGCAGGTTATTTAGTTCTATGCAAAAACAAACAAAAAACCTGATTATAGAACTCCGTTAAGTTGCCTGGGGAAAGTTGGCTAATATCATGTGTCCCTCTCATTTCTTTCCTCACAATCTCCTCATGCTCCCAGCATTACCAACAAAATTTGGAAATACTAAAAGAGAGTCTAGAAATTCCTCATGTAGTTTAACAGTTTCCTCCATTGAGTAGGAAAATATACTTCAGCTGATTTCTAGAAGTTGTGATAGGCTAAAATGTAGGAAGGTAAAAGGATTTGACAGTGGCCATTACTTAAATCATAGTAGGACCAAAATAAAGTTCAGAAGAACTGTCTTCTAGCTGCCTGCTCTGAGTGTTCAAATCAGGAATGAACCCTTTCTGTAAGGAAAAGAGAGGTGTTGCCAGTTCTAGGGAGGCAACTACCCTAATTGTTTGGAAATTTAGCAAAACTTAATCCCTACCTTCTCAGTATGGTAAAATTGGACAGTGACCTAAGTGCCATCATCCTGAGTTCTATTAAAATTTAATTAAGCCTGCTTTTATTATTTATCAATTGTTGTGATGGTATAAATATTCCTGGGATATCATAAAGATTTAAAACATTAAGTCAATTTTTAATTTTTTTAAATCTAAAACAGCTTGAACACCTGAAGAGACTTATCAATGATATTGCATTACGTTGCATCTGATAAGATTCCTTTAGAAAACAGTACACCATTATCTAAAATAATGTATGGCTTACCAACGATAAGTAAATGCTATAGTCATCTTTCTCTTATTAGTTTCTTTGAAATAAACTAACGTATAATTGAAAAAATACACCTAATGCTTGTTGGATGAGCGAATGAATGGGTGAATGAGTTAGATCACAATCTTTCAGAGGCTTCCTTTCTGCCCTCTCAACATTTCAGCTCTAGTGTTCAATGCCACAAAAGCTTAATTGTCTCCAGTAATAGTGATGATGATCTGGAATGGCACTAAATCAAGTTCAAATCATCCGAAAACATCCCTGCAGCTAATGTGTTCTATCTCCTTCCTCATTTTTACCAGAACTGCTCCTACATTACTAGATTGATTAATGTAAACCTAACTTCTACTTCCTGCCATCCCTCTGATTGGAGGTAAAAACAAGCAATGCAGCAGGCCGAAGACCAGAATAGGAGCTGAGGAAGCCTCATTCGTTGCCAGACTGGTTACCTACCTTAGAATAATTGACAGCTGACGAGAGGTGGTGCTGAACTGCGGGTGTCACACAGTCTGGGAGGCCCAGCAAGGGAATTTCTCAAAACAGAGTCCTAATAGAGGAAGAACCTTGCTGGGACAGATGTGACTCCTGGTCTTCATTTCGCCACTGTGGCTTCATTCCCCTGACCTACCTGTGTTTCCCACACCCTTTCTAGAAAAACAACCCGAGTTGCCTGCTTGCCTCCTAGGGATGGATATTAACATAATATTGGGTACATAGTTTTTTGAGGCTTGTGAAACTAGGGAGGTGAAAAGAATCACAGGGATGGAAATGACTGACTCTAAGAGCCCCCAAAGTGGCTGCTAAATCATTTGTGTGCTGTTGAATGATCTGTCGACCTGAGACACCTGCCAGGTCCACGCATTGGATCTTGGAGCTTCTCACCTGGCCCTCCCAACCCTTCTAGATTTCCACCTCCACAATACACATTCCAGCTCTTGGCAGCCTCACTGAGTCACCAGGACATCAGTGTTGAGCCATCATTAGTCACTTATCCACTTAACTGCCATGATTTAGCAGGTAGTTCCTAGAAATAGCATAAATGTAGAAAAGGAAAAATACAGTAGACTGAGATGGAGTGGGTTTGAAGCTCACTGTAGGCACTCACAAATTTGATTCTTATAATTCTTTTCAGATTAAAATAGAAGTATCTGAACCAGACCGTGATTGTTCTGGAATTGCCTCTCTCTGACCCTAAAGGGCAAGTTTTGCCTTCATTCTACTGGGCACCTTCTCTACAAAGAGCCCTCTGTAGTACTGTGGAAAATAAGAGCAATAATTAAGACCTGAGTTTTGTGCCACATAATGTTTACAAGAAAATGAAGACAGCGGATATATATATAACTACCTAGAATTGAGAGGCTGTTACACGTACAATTTCTTTCTAATTTACACGTCAAGATCTTCTCGTCATTATCTGACTCCTGGCTTGCTTTCTTTCACCTCAGCCGTAACGGATGCCTCTCTCCGTACCCGAAGCCCCACCTTTGTCCCACCATCCAACCAAGCTCCACTCCTTTGTAACTTTGCCTTTTCCTTAATGAGTCTTCCCCAAATCTGTCTGTACCATTTGTTCTAGCATACTCTCTCACCCTGACACGTGTGTGTTATATGTATTCAGTGCACATGTGTTGTCTGCTCCAATTGGTAGCATTTAGATAAAGTAATCAACTTACTTTGATTTGCACAAGCAATCCAAAACCTCCTAATTTGAGACTACTACCAGAACCACACCAATTAAAATGGCAGGGGAGCCTGGGTTCCTGAATGTCTGTGTCGCTGGTCTCTGTTGCTAAAACAGGGTTCTGAGTATACCCTGAGGTTCCTTTCTGCCTTACCATATTGAATGTCAAAAAGGAGTCAACGGACTTGATCAGGTCTACATTTCTTTTCTGTTGCTCCAGGATTCTTCTACAGCCAGATGATTCCTTACAGATCTTGGCACCAGTGGAAGCTGATGTGGGTTTCTACACTTGCAATGCCACAAATGCCTTGGGATATGACTCTGTCTCCATTGCTGTCACGTTAGCAGGTAACCTGAAAACCCTTGTTCAGTTCACTTCATAATTCTTTATTGAGTAATGCCTAGAATGTTTCAAGCAGGCCCAGGGACACATAGATAAATGAGACCCAGACCTCACCTTCAGGGAATGTATAATCTATAATTATAATGGAAGTGAAGTATAGTATGAGGTAGAATGAAGTAAGTGTTGTAACTGATAACCAAATAGTATGCAAGGACAATTCACTCCTGCTGAGAGGTCTTAGAGTTGGGGTTAATGGAATTTTGAGAAGCAGAGATAGGGGAAATATTCCAGGCAGAAAGAACAATATGCACAAAGGTGATATGTGCAAGTGTTAATAAGTAGCATGTCAGGAAACACGAATGTGAATTATGATTATTGAATGTTCTTTTGGATCCTGCCATTTCTCCTTGTTCACCTGTTGCAAAGAAGTCTTTAAGATCCATAAGTAATTGGAATTCTGTGGTCATAGCTTGGAGCAGGAGTGGTCCTCAGAACTACTCTCTGATTCTGCTTTACTTCAGCCTCTTACTTTTTATATATTTGCCAACATTTTGCCTTCATCTATAGAGGTTAGACCAAACATTCCACACGTGGGTGGTGACTTAACATCACAACTCAGAGTACAATGTCTCCCAAAGTTATTGTCTTTTAGTAACAGATTTACAGAGCTTTTATAAAACCTCTTTTCATAGGACAAATCCATGCTTTTGAAACTGAAAGAGACCTTAGATACCAGCTGGACCAGCACCCCCATTTCTCAGAGGTCAGGCACCCTGAGGTCACACAGCTGCCCAGCTAGTGGCGGGGAGAAGAAGGGAACTTAGTCTATTCTTCTAACTCCCAGCTAACTCCCAGCTCATTGTTCTCTTCACTTCCCCACTGATCCTACCAAAATAGGATCCTTTTTCTCAGATCTGGATCATACAGTCTTTGTGGCTGTGCGTTGCATGTGTTTGTATTTATTCTTTTCAATTGCTGCTCTCATCAGATGATTCAGTAGATGACAGAAAAGCCAACATCACCCCACACTGACCTCATCTGTCCATGAGGGGATTATGTTGTCACACTGTTCTCCAGTCACACATGCTACTCCCTTGCATGTCCGTTTAGCAACAGTATTTCTGCCCCCATGACCTCAGGCTGATCTGGGAAGGGACCTTTAGCAGGCAGCTTTGCAAGGAAGAAGATCAAAGTCAACAATGAAGAAGGCAAGTTAGGGGGCCCTGGGCTGGATTAAAGACTGATATTATTAATGCCTATTTTTTTGTGAATAAAGCATTTGCTTTTCCTCTAATGTATTCCAGTTGCAATCCTTATTCCCTTCTCTATACAGAGGCCAGATGCTCAGCACCAATTTTGTTAAATCTCTCCTGCCATCCGCCCTCCAACCTGCTTTAACAAGGGCACTGCTGACGTCCTTCCAATTGCTGGCAAAGAGTGGCTCTTGCAGGATTAACTCTCTTGTTTATATTTATCCAGATATGGTTCATCTCTGTCACAGACTAAATACCCTTTGTTCACCCGAATTTAATATGATTAATGGAAACCTGTCTGGAATTAAGCAAGGCAATTGTAACATCAGGCTTGTCTTTGGCTCTTTGAAGAGCAGCTATTGGAGGCTGCCAACAGGTTCAAAGCCAGGGAAGAGAGAGGAGCCAAAGAGGCACCAGGGAAGGGGAGGAAAGGGGCTGACCGATAAAGTATGATCACAGACACCACACCCAGGGCTTAGGGAGCTGTGTCCTTGTACTACAGCTGCTGGGGTTTGTGCAGGTCTGCTGGCAAGCCTGCCAAGCAGTCCCTCTAAAGTAAAGGTTCAATATGCATATTTTGCTGTAAGACTGTACTTGCATCTTTACCTGACATTATCATCCACAAGTAATTGTCTGTACTCACAGTGTTAGGTGGCTCACCAACTGCTGTTCTGAGCCTACCCTCTGCTAAATATTGTGGGACATACAGCAATAAATAAAACCTGAATTTTGCATCTATATTCATAATGGATTTTGGTCTGTAATTTTCTTTTTTTGTTGTTGTCTCCTTACCTGACTTTGGTATCTAGGTGATCCTGGCTTCATAGAATGAGCTGGGGAGTGTTCCTTCCTTCTTGATGTTATGGAATAATGTCTGCAGTATGGGTACCAGCTCTTCTTTGTAGGTCTGGTAAAATTTGGCAGTGAATCCATCTGGTCCAGGGCTTTTTTTCATTGGAAGATTTTTTTTATTACAGCTTGAATTTTTTTGCTCATAATTAGTCTGTTCAGAAGTTCTATTTCTTCCTCATTAAGTCTGGGGATGTTGTGTATTTCCAGGACTTTGTCCATTTCTTCTGTGTTTTCAAGTTTATGTGCATAGAGATTTTCACAGTATTCACAGATGATACTTTGTATTTCTGTGGTATAAGTTGTAATATCTCCTTTTTCATTTCTGATTGAGCTTCTGTGTGCCCTATTTTTTCTATTCCTGGGTAATCTAGCAAAAGGTCTATCAGTTTATCTTTTCAAAGAACCAACTTTTTGTTTCATTCATCCTTTGTATTGTTATTTGTTTTCCATTTTGTTTTAGGCTTTGTGACCTTTGTTATTTCTTTTCTTCTGCTGGCTTTGGGTTTTCTTTGGTCTTCCTTTTCTAGTTCCTTGAGACACATCATTAGATTGTTAATTTGTGATCTGTGTTTTTGATGTAGGCATTTAAAGCTATGAATTTCCCCTTAGGACTGCTTTTGCCGAGTCCCATAGATTTTGGTAGCTCATGTCCCATTTCTCGTTCAGTTCGAGGAATTATTGATTTCCATCTTAATTTCATTATTGACCCAATAATTATTCATCAGCATGTTTAATTTCCATGACTTTCTGTAGAATTGAATGTTTCTCTTGGATGTGCTTTCTAGTTTTATTCCACTGTGGTCTGAAAAGATACATGGTGGGATTTCTATTTTTTTCTTTAATTTTTTGAGACATGTTTTGCTAAGATATGATCAATCTTGGAGAATGTTCCATGCACTGATAAGAAGAATGTGTATTTGGTAGGTTTTTTGGTTTGTTTTTTTTTGTATTATTCCATTTTATTTTACACTAGGTGGTGGGCACAAAGCAATCCTCCTTGATAAACATGACAATTAGCTTCACTCAGAACATTTTTAATAATGCACATTAAAAAAAAAAAGTATTCATCTTACAAATTGTTCTGCAATCCAAACATACAATAGCTTGGAAAACAACATTTAGAAAACAAAAACCAATGTAAAAAGACAGATTAAAACAACTAGAACAGTACAGGTTTTATATGGCTCGAATTTTACAGTTTTCTTACTGCATCATCAATGTCGGAAATCTGTTCCTTCAGCTGGCTCCATTGCTCTGGATTTAAAGAAATACCTTTTCTTCCTGGTTTCATTTCACCTTCTGGATCCATCCAATATTCTCTAATATCAATTAGAACTTTCCCTTTAAAACACTAACATACCTCATTTTCCCAATCTGAAACATGTTATCATCTCTGCTGCTGCTGCTCTGCTTGGAAGATGACAGAGCTCTTGAAGTTTCACCAGTTTTTTGCTTCTTCACAGGTTTTTCTGGAGCAACTTGCTTTTTCCTCTTTAACTTTTTGTCAGCTTCGCTGTCAGAATCACTGCCAGAAGAGCTTGAAGAAACAAGTTCCTTTGACTTAGGCATTGCTTCGCTCGTGCAGTCGTACAATCTCAGGGTCCCTCGCTCGCGACTCTATTTGGTAGTTTTTAGGTAAAATATTCTGTAAATGTCTGTTAGGCCCATTTGCTCTAGAGTCCCTTCTAACTCCAGTGTTTGATTATTTTCTACCTGGATGATCCATCCAGTTCTGTCAATGGAGTACTGAAGTCCCTGGCAATTAGGATGCTGTTTATATCTTTGTCTAGATCTAGTAGGGTTTGCTTTATGAATCTGGGTACTCCTGTGTTAGGTGCATAAATATTTAGAATTGTTATGTTGTCTTGTTGAGTTGCTCGTTTTACCATTATATAATGACCATCTTTATCTTTCTTTACTATTGATGAGTTAAAAACAGTTTTACCTAATATGAGAATGGTTTTACTTGCTTTTTTTGTTTGTTTGTTTCCATTTGCATGGAATATTTTTTTTCCATCCCTTATGTTGAGACTGGATGATTCCTTGTGGCTTAGATGTGTTTCCTGGAGACAGTAGATAATTGGATTGTATTTTTTCATCCACTCAGCCAGCCTGTGTCTCTTAAATGGGGCATTCACACCATTCACATTGATTGATAGAATTGGTATGTGGGATGCTGTTCTTTTTATCCTATCGGGTAGTAGTATCCTTATTGCTTTGTTTTACCTCTTATGCTATTGTTTTATATGAGCTCTGAGCTTTAGCTTTTGGGTGGTTTTATACTAATGGGTTTCTATTGTGTTGATCCATGTATAATGAGGTTATCTCTTGTTTAGCTGGGGCTTTTTTTTCTTCCTTCCCTCCTCATTTGTAAGGGAGTGTCTATAGCATATGTTGGCTAAGAACATCTGACTTTGCTTGCGGGTATTTTCAGGGTCTAGGTTCTGGATGGATGCCTTGGTTATAGATATCCTTAGTGTGGTGGTTTTCTCCAACTAGTTGCTAGTTGTTTGTAGGCTGTAGCAGTAGTGGCTGTGTGGCGGGGGAAGATTCCCTGTCTCTCTTTGATGAAGGATGATTAAGGTCTTTGGGATTCTTTCTCTTTCCCCAGCTCTGGGTGGTCTTAACACTGTGAATTGTATTGGCATGCCCAGTTTAGTCTCTGAGACAGTAGTAGGTGGTGCTTGTGGGTAAGAATCAACCACACTCTGTATGATTGACTTAGCAAATGCTGTAAAGGTCTGTGCAAACTGACCTGTCTGTAAGTAGGTGGCACTTGCCTGGAGGAACAAGCTATAGTGTTGTTTTTAGGATGTTTGTGTGGCTCTAGCCTCTCAGGAAAAGCGCTGGAATGCCCCAGGTGGTGGATGGGTCCCTAGAACTTCCTGATGAGTCCTTAGTCTCCATGGCAATAGAGGTGAGTAGGGGGAGTGAGGTGGGACTGGGTTGGGTGGGCCTGCCCTCCAGCTCCACAAAAGCTTGTAAAGCTGCTGTTTCAGTGAGGATCAAAGGTCTGCTCCCAGCCTTCTGGGAAAAGCCACTAGGGAGGGACTGAAGTGGTCCCATCCAGCAAGAAAGTCTGCTTATGGAGGTGGATTCATCTGAGATCCACAGTCTGGCTGTCAGGAGCAGGTTTTGCTCTTCTGCCTCCCCCTTACCCTGTTCCAAGGTTTCCCTCCAGTGTCTGCCAGCAGACATGAACTCAGACTAGGTGAGCTCCCCAGCAATATTGCTGCTGGCTGGGAGCTTTCCTGTCTAGGATCCTGCCCTGGGCCTATGTTCCACAAGTATGGTGTGGCTGGGACCCACACTGTGCTCTCTCTTTAGTTCTGGCCACCCAGGCTCCTTCACTCTCCAGATTTGTTCACAAATATCCCCTCTGTGCCTCTGAGCAACACAATTGAATCTTGTGATATAGGATCTAGCCTGTGCCTTTTGTGGGTGTATGAAGATCAATCCCTGACCATGCCAGGGAGAAGCATGCTGATCCCGAGTTGCCTACAGGGTGCTCAAGCAGGTTTGATGTATCTCTGCTTTGGGGGTGTGCCAGGCCAGGGGTGCACTTGCCAAGTAGCTGGGCAAGGAGCACCAGGGAGGGCCAGTGCGCAGGGAACTCACAGTCCAAGCACCTGTTAGTCCTCTGCAGGTTTTTATGAGGAAAGATATGAGCCCCACTCTCTGTGGAAGCCCCAGCAGAGGGGCAGCAGCAGCTAGAGCCCTGGCTCAAGTGTTGCTTTCAACAGCCGTAGGTGGGAGAGGAAAAGGAGAAGAAAAGAGTCTGGATGGAAGAAAGCTGGCATTCTCGTCATTTCTGTCCCTCGCTCCAGAAAGCAGCCCACCTGGTATGTCCAGGCTCTGGGATCACACAGATCCCCCCGGGACCCACTGGTCCCCTGTGGCTCCCACAGTCTGCACAGGAGTTGGGAAATACTTGTGTGGGAACGAGCAAGATGAAAACTGAGAGGCTGAAGCGCCCGGTGAGTGGGGAGCAACATGGCGCCTGTCATCTTGATTCAGGTCTGTGGTGAGGGGAAATGCCCCAAGGAGGCTAGCAGCCTGGCGCTCTGTCCTCAAGAAGCTCCCAGTTCACTGGTGGCAGCAGCTTTCAGGCTCAAGAGGGTAGAAAGGCTCTCCAACAGCTTGGGAGCCTGCTGTCTGCCAGAGATGTGAGCAAGGGAGACACAAACCATTCCACCTACCCTTTCTGCTGGACCCCAAGCCTCTCAGCAGTTGACCTCTAGCGATATCTTGCTCCTTATTCTGCTCCACAACTTCTTCCCATGGAATCTCTTGTAGGTTCTGGCACTTTTCCCTAAGAATTACACCTGATCCTTGATTGATTTATTTTTTTTTTTTTCATCTAAAACTTTTCCTTCTTTCTGAGATGATCTGACAGCTGGTGTCTCTGGTCAACCATCTTCCTCGATCCCGTCCCCACATGTTTTTCAGTATAAGTCTTAACACTGATATTTTTCAAGTATGGACTTAAGAAACTGATTCAGTTCACTTGCAGTGAAATCATCGTGGTGAATTGCAGTGCTGTTGTACTTTTCAAGAAATTGCACGGTTTTTTTCCTGGACTTTAGTATTAATGTAGACCAAAGAGGAAAAAAAAATTTGAGGCTAAAGATAATCGGGTGTCCCCATGATTTTTTAAGGCAAGTATGGGCTTTGGGCTTGTCAGCGCACCTGTGTTGAGCAGATGCAGGGAAATTTATTCACAGCATAGCAGTTAAAACCATGGTCTCTGGAGCCTTGGAGTCTAGTTTTAAATCCTGGCTCTGTCACTTCCTAAGCTGCATAACCTTGAACAACTTCTTTACACTCACTGGCTCAATTTTTTCCTCTGTAAAATGGTGATAATAATAGTAACTGACTCAGAAGGCTCTTGTGGAGATTAAATGCATTCATTTGTATAAAATGTTTTTAAGTGTGCCTGACATATAGCACTTAATATTTGTTAGCTATTATTATTGAGAGGACAATGCATAAAGTAAAAGCCAATTTATTTTTACAGTGGGAAAATGCCCTTTTCAGAGACCAGAATGTTCACAACCCCTTTGTTAGAGCAGCTCTCTCTAGGTGTCTCATTGTTGACTGAGGAAGATGAATTAGCCCATTGGAAAGCACTTGGAGCACCTGGATTCAGAGCAAGGGAGGTGGCTTGTGATGAGGACCATTTCACATGGACCACAGGGAGAGAGGCCTGATGAACTCTCCCTGGCCACAGCAAGTCCTCTCTCCCACTGAGTTTGCCCTATCCCCTAGTTGAGCATGTTGCCAATTCTTCACCTCAGATTCATTTTAGTTCTGTTGCTTACTCTCTACACAATTTATCTATAAATATTTCAACACCATTTAGTTTTTAGACATGCTAATACAGCTAAACCTTCCTCATTCTTCCCTGTTTTGGCATGTAAAATACTCTTTCATGCCTTAGGCCTCTCTCTAAACTCTTCCATTATGTGTTGATTTTATCTTTTAACTCTCAGAGATGTGGGAGTACCTTGCAGGTGTGTCTCAGCATGGAGATGGCCAGTGTTTTCCTATTTCCCTCTTGGGGGCAGCCCAGGGAACTCGCAGCCATTTTGACCAAGTAGCACAAAATTCCTCTGCCCTAAATTTACTTGACTGGATGCTTGTTTCGCTGCTCAGAGTGTAGATGAGAGGACTACAAGGAGGGGATTATACCAATGTCACCAAAATGTCACGTACCTAATGTTTTGAAGTATTGATTACTTGATGCATAGGGATAAAAAGAGCTAGGTAAAGGAGAGTTTCTGGCGTATACAGAGATAAGCACAGAGATTGGAGAGCCATCTTTGCCAGTCAGTTTCCACACTCAGCCATGTTGCTCAGAAACCTTCCAAATCTGAATGGCCTGGGCAGGGTTTTGGAAGGAAAGCAGTAGTTTGCTGGTAAATTGCTTCAGTCTGGATCAGCGGAGTTTAGCTGTACTTACCATTGCAGATAAGGGCCTCTCCAGGTGTAGACCATGAATGAGGTCATCGACAAAAGGGAAACGTTTTTGGTTGTCATTGATTTCATAAGATCACAAAAGAGATACTGTAAGGCCTGCCTGACATCATCAATGGAAAATGAGAAGATGATGAGGGCTGAGGGGTGAGTGTATCTTTCATTGAAAGGAGAGAACACAGATGAGCTCATCTGATGTTTTCACAGGAAGGGAGAGACAGAAAATATTTCTCCTTTCCTGGCATGTTTTTCTGCTTTGTTGTGAGTTGAATAGCTGACACACATTGTATCTAATAAAGAGATCACAGAAACCTCACAGGAAAAATAAAAATAAAAGGCAGTTGTTTTTTTGAAATTCTTCTTTCTCTGTCCCTCCCCATCATGATTTAGTAGCTACAATAAAAGGCAAGCAATTGTGTAAGCTTTTCATAACGTAAGTCATTTCAAATTGGCATATCTGAACTTTTTGCCCAGCAGTTCTGTTAACCAGAGGAGGGGTTTTGCTTCATAGAGAGTTAGACTCAGAGAGGGTCTTGTCACCAGTGGCAACGGCTGGCAAAGGAGAACTTGCTCCAGTGCACTAGATCAAAGGGAAGGGTAGATGGGTTTGACTGTGTTCCTAATAGAACTCTGAGCCACGTGTTAATGGCTATTGACTGATTCAGGCTGCCATCAAGGGGACCTCAGTGTCTGATAGAATACTGAGTACCCAAGGTTCTTAAGTTTGCTTCAATAAGTACAGATGCACAGAACACTCACCAAAGACCCTAAGCTTTTATAGAACTTATATAAATTCGATGAGAGTATATCAGGAAAATCCAACTTACTTCAGCTGCCTAGTAGACTAGAGGAAACACATAAGAAAATACAAATGGTCCAAGTTAGCCCATCTCAAT